CAGGGGGCTACATCCTGGGGCAGCCCCAGGATCCAGACAGGAAGTTTTCTGGACTCCCAGCCTCCCATGCAGGCCCACCTTCCTCAGGCCTGACCTTGACCTCTCTCCCACCCCAGGCTGAGGGCTGGACTTCTGCCTGGAACTGAGCTGGGGCACATCCCCTATCTGTGCCTTGGAGTTGGGACCTGCCTGCCCTGGGCATCTTCCATCAGGAGCTGAGGCCGGCCCAGGTGCCCAGTGCCCAGGCACTCACACAGTGCCTGGAGGGACATTGAAACCATGCCAACTTCCTTCCCCAGGTGCTCACCTCTGTGGGCCCATCCTCAGGGCCTGTGCCCACCGTGAGTGTCAGGCCCAGCTGTAGGACCCAGCACTGTTGTACCTGCTCATTTCTGCCACAGCAGGGGCACTCTACCTCTTCATCCTTCTGTTCTGCAGCCAGCATCAGGTAGCAGGATGGGGGAGACATAGCCTGGGAAGCCCCAGCACCTCCAAGTGATCTTGGAGGAAGGGGTGCAAAGTCAGAAAATGCCCCAGCTCCATGTTGCTTCCATGGAAGCTCTTGTGCAGAAGGCTTGGAGGCTTCTGGGGAGACCAGCATCTCTTGGCATCTAGGACCACTAGGCTAGGCTTTAGGGCCAGGGTGGACCCTGCCCCAATCTTTCTGGCAGGCCCAAGGTGGCACAGCCGGTGTGGCTGCCTTCTGGGACCTGAGGTTCCAGGCCTGCCTGTGCTCTGAACAGCCTGCAGGTTTGTTCCATGAGACCCCCAACACAGTCACTGGGAGGGACGGGGGCCCTGTCTTTCAGCAGTGGCCTCACATGGGGAAGTAAGAAGCAGTCTGTAGCTCTTGGCTCACTGCCCTATCTGCAGCCCTACACGGAGGGTGCACCTCGAGGACAGGTCCAGGTCAGCTCTGCCCAGGGCCCTTGAGGAAGGGTAGTTCTCTGCAATGAGCCGTTTCCCAGAACACATGGGTCAGGGATATCTCAACCACGGCTGTTTGCCAGGAGCCCAGGCACAGGTCAAATGAGTCTGAGCTTTTTCTCAAGCTTTGGTTCCCACTTTTGTTCAAGAAGAATGATGTTTACTTACCAGTGAGTGCCTTGGAGGGACAGTTCCTCTGAGTAGGGTGAGGCAGGGCTTCAGAGCCCGAGAGCTGGTACTGCTCCTGCTGAGGCGTTGGTCCATTGGCTGAGAGCTGGGACCAGGCCAGTGCTGGGCATCTTGCAAAGAGGGATACCTAGAGTGAGAAAGGGAGCTTCGTATAAATGTATGCATCAACTTCCCAGAGTCCTGGAATGAACATCTCAGTGTGCAGCCCTCGTGCCGAGCTCCCCCGGGCTGGGATGTCAGAGCCCTTGTACTGTGAGGCTCTGGTCACCTCTCACGGAAGGCATCATCTACTCATAGTTCCCGTTACCTCACTGGAGGCTCCAGAAGGCTTTATGTTTCTGTCTGCGGAGTGCAGCAAGGAGTGGAGACCCTGTCAGCTGCCCCAGCCCAGAGAACATGCTGGCCCCCAGTTCCTCTGTCCTGTAGTCCCAGCATGTTGCTGGTGTGGTCAGTGGGGACCTGGTGGGCACCCCCAGTCCATGTGAGATAGCGGGCAGCCATCCTTTATCCTGACCATGAGGCCCAGCAGCCCTGGTGAAGAAAGCCTCCAGAAAAGCTGTGTGGTGGCCTCAGTGGGTGTTGGCAATGAGGTGGAAGATTGTCTGGGTCTGTGCATCCCCAGGACCTCCCCCACAGCCCAGAATGCAGGCCATTCATGCCTTGTCAGTGTGCCAGGGACTTTGACCTAGGGACACCGTGTCCCAGCCCAGAGTTTCCCAGGCTGTTAGAGCTGATGTTGCTCCAAACAGAAAACACCCAGTCTGGTAGTCGTGTATTCAGTGATGTGACTGGAACACCAGGGCCGAACCCTGCTTCTTATAGCTGCTCCTGCTTCCACTATGCCTTGGTGGCCTGGAGTTCCTGGGCCCCTGAGGGGCATTGGGCTCATGGACATGCTCAGCTATACCTCTCCCTGCTCCCAACTTTCTCTTTGTCCTGTCTTGCCAAGGCTGTGTCCCTGTAGGCTGGGCAGGACTTAGAGCTATGCTTCCCACCAGGGACACAGCAGCACCACGCCAGGGTGCCAAGGCTGTTCCTGCTTATGGGAAGAGGATACAGTATACACACATTAAGCCCACCCCATGCACACGGTTGTACTGTGGGATGCAAGAGACCCACTGTCCCTCAATACTGATGAGGGATTCCTGGGTGCCCCAACTTGGAGGAGGCCTGCCCTCCCTGGGTGCTGTCCAGCTTTTGCTGTGGGTAGTGGCCTGGTTGGGGTCTGCCTACATTTGGGTTGAATGCTGGCTCCAATGTTTTCCAGCTGTGTGTCCTTGGGCAAGTCACTTTGCCTCTATGTGACTCAGTTTCCCTGTGTTCCCTGTCAACAGTGTGGGAAGATGAGTGAGTTGTTGCCTATGAAGCCCTTAGAAGGACTATGAGTCCCTGAATCCATGTACCACCAAGTCCAGGCATATGGTCAGTGGCCAAGGTCAGAGTTGTTGTGTGGTGGTGCTTGTGCCTGGCCTCTGACAGGTCTGTAACCCAGAAGTCTGCAGAGGTGGAACTCATGACCTTGATGTCTCCATCTTAGGATAGAACCTGAGCATGGCCTCCTGGGCCTGTGACCTTACTCCTGGAAAAGGTGGTAGTGACAAGGGGACCAGAAACCAGCTCTAGCCCAGGGCCAGCCAACACCCATCTTTCCATTTCCTGCTGTCCCCACTACCATACAAACTGGAGCCAAGATCTCCAGGTCTCATGCTTCTCCCCACTTTTCCGGCCACAGACTGATTCCCACAGAGCAGCCACCCGCCACTGCGCCATATTTAAGCCCAATAATTGAATTGCAATTGATAGTATGTGTCGGTTTAAGATCATGCTAATTGCTTCATTTCCCAGAACACTCCTAAAGAGAAAATGAATTTCCCTGTAACATTTTGTAGTGGGGTGAAATGACCCTTTTGGAAATCAATCCCAGCTCTGGAATGAGCTGCGGAGTAGGTAGGTGTGCGGGAGCAGGGGTCACAGCTGGCATGAAGGAGCTTACTCTGGGCCTGGACTTGAATCCAGCCATGTGTTAGGCGTTATGTGAGGCTTGGCACAGCTGGGCATCTATGCAGGGGGATGGTTTTGCTCAGGCAATAAGTGGGCATACCTGGCTGGAGATGAACCAGTGTGCCCAGGGCTATGCATCTGGCCACTGAAGGAGCCATCCTCAGTGCAGCATGGTAGTTAGGAGAGGAATGGACATCTGGTCAGTGGGCACAAGCGGGAGTCCCATATCTTCCCTTTACTGAGAGGTCCAGGAGGTCACAGGACCTCTGGAGTCCCTACTCCCCCCTCTGTCAGATGAATGTCAGGTGTGATGGGGAGTGGTGTGTGCCCTGCCTTCAGCACAGCCCCAGAAGCCTGGTCCAAGAGCATTGTGGCCACATCCTGCATAATCATCATGGCTACTTTACTGGGCAAAAGGGTATAAAATAAAGTTAAACAGCATGGAGAATACAAGGAACCAGCATGACACGCTGATGTGGAGGGAATCCCCAAATCCTCCCGGCTCAGGTTTCTATTTCTTATTCTGTTCACTAGCTTCATGGAGTCACTCAGTCATTAGATAGCAATGGAGCTAGCATCCACCTACCTACTCATAGCCCATGCCCCCACCCATCCAACTGGCAGCTCATCCACCCATGTACCCATCCACCCACCCACCCTCCCATTCATCCACCCATTTGTTCATTCATCCACCTATTACCCATCCATTCATCTGCCCGCCCACATATCCATCCACCCCCCCACTCACCCATTCATCCATCTGTCCATGCATTTATCACCCACCTATCCACGGATCAATCCCAACTGTCCATCTACCCATCTATCCACCCATTCATCTGTCCGTCCACCCACACTACCATCCACCTGCCCATCAACCCATCTGTGTATTCCCCTGTTGACTTACCCATCTGTCTACCCGTGCATGTACTCATTTATCCTTTCACCTGTTCATCTGTTCATCCATCTACTCACCTGTCCATCTTCCATGCATTCGTCTACCCACCCACCCATCCACCCACTCACCCACTCACCCATCCATCTACCTACCTGCCCACTCCTACCTGCCCACTCATCCACCTGTCTGTTTATCCACTGACCACCCACCCCACCCACCCATCTACCCATCCATCTACCCGTTGGCCAATCCATTTATCCGTCCATCCACCCACCCACCCATCTGACTCTCCGTTCATCCATCCATCCACATACCTCTTCATCTGTCTGCCCATCATTTGTCCATTTATCCACCAATCCATCTACCCATCTACCCATCCATCTATCCGTCCACCCACCCAGCCTTCCATCCACTCACCCCAACACATCCATCCATCTGTCTATTCTACTCCTTTAGGATTTGCTGAGCAACACCTGTGTGCTGGCCCACGCTTAGTGCTGGTGCACAGAGAGGGAAAGGTAGGACCCTTCTGTCAAGGAGCTCCTAGGCAAGTGGGGATGGGGTGTCATAGGAGTGACAGCCCTGCAAGTGGTGCAGACGCAGTGCTCTACTCTGGAAAGTGCCATCCCCAGTCAGGCCTCCACAACAGTGTTGGGGACACTCTCCTACTGTAGACTGCAAATCCCTGGGGACAGACCCTGGGACCCTTGTAGGAGCTCATGGCCCCTGGGATACTCAGAGAACTTGGGATTTGGCCTTCAGATGCCTGCCCTGTCTTTGACGGGTATGATGACACTGAATTCATCCCTGGCCCTTTCTGGGCCCCCATAACTCCTCTAACAGGAGGTAGATAGACTAGCTGGTCACTAGACACACTCTAGTTCTTGATTCTATGAGTGCCATTCTTGCCCAGCTCTGGGCTCACCCAGTCTCTCTGATGCATATGCAGCTCACTGCTCCTAACATGGCTCTGTGTTGTTTCCTACAGAGCGACTTACTGGATGTGAATCAGATCATCAAGGACTTGGCCTCCATGGTGTCAGAGCAAGGCGATGCTGTCGGTGGGTACCCATTCCAGTCTCAGGCCACCTGACAGGCCCAAGGGCCTTATTTCAGCCCCCAGCCACCCACCCCTTCCCCTATGTGTGGACAGAGCTGCCTCTGAGAGGAGTGAGGCCCAGGGCAGGATCTGGTCTAAGTGTCTGCCCCTCCCACCTTGCCCAGTCTCCACCATCCCCTCTGGAAGCCTGGATGGGAGAAACTCCTGCAGGACAGTGGCCTCCCCACTCTGCTCACTGAGGGTCCCTAGCCTCTGTGCCTCCCACCCTGGGCCTTATACCTGGCAACTCCCCAATGAGAACTAGCCATTGGGGGGTGAGCAGATTTGCAGCTGCAGTGTGTGCCCAGCAAGGTTGCAGGAATGTGGAACCCCGAGCTCTGGTTCTGCCATGGCTATGCCCGTGCAGTGAGGGCTATGGGAACAGTGTGTTGGGGAGTGTGCAGATCTGCTGGGGTGTGGCGTCCTGAGCACTCCCAGAGAGACTGGGCCAGTTCTGCAGGCCAGGATGCCTCTTGGACAGCCTGGCACTATGGTCTCTCAGCCCTACCTGCCTCTTTAAAAGGAAGTGGAGCAGCATGGGGGCCCCTGAGGCCCAGGGTCAGTCCCTACCTTAGTGCAGGGCCTGATGACTGGGAAGATCCGGGAGGGTCTCTGGGGATGAGGGGATTGGGAGGCATGCAGCCCTGTCCCTTTGCCCCTTGAGTCCCCAGGAGCTCACCTTTTGCCATGGAAGGGCCCCAAGTCGGGGCCTGGCTGATGGGAGGTTGGGGTGAAGGGGCCAAGTGTGGAGCCAGGGCTGGAAGTTCCTCTCAGGATGTCCTCGCTCAAAGCAAAGGAGGGGCCTTCTCCCACAGATGGGACTTCGCTCACAGTGGCCCAGTGACCCCTCCCCAGGCCTGCCAGATCCCCAGTCTGCTCACCTCGGTCACCCACTACTGGAACTGGAGAAAAAGCACAATCCCAGTCCTCCCTCTGCCTCTCTGTGGGGTCACCTGTGGGCTTCCCCACAGAGGTCCTCCTCACCTCATCCTGAGGTCTGGAAGCCCTGAACTGACAGGATCCGGCCACATGTACTTTGAAATGAGGAGAAAGATATTTGTCCTCTGAGAGGAAGTCGGCCAGGGCTCCTTGCTCGTGCTTCCTCCTGTGGGGCAGGAGTGGCCAGCTTCACCTGAGCCATGCAGCAACTCCCCAGGTCAGGCACTCAGCTGTGACAGAGTCCAGTTCTGATTCCATGTGCTCTGGTCTCTGCTTGTTCAGAGCCCAGGGAAAGCTGGGGACACTTATGCCCTCTTCCCAATGTGGTCACTCAGAGGCTCTGGCCTGCCTGCACTGCCCCCACTGGGGTGGGGCATGTGGGGTGTGCAGGTGGACTTTTGAGGCACTTGCTGACCTTGCCACCCCCTCCCGTGGGGCCCGTCCCTGCTTTGTTTCCATGGTATCTCCTACCCTAGGGCTCTGCCCACTTACCTGGTCTGATACATGCCTGCTGCTGCCAGAAGTGCTGGTGCCCAACTGGCAGGGCAGGAGCTCCTGGTTCTCCAGCGGGGTCATCATCTGAGGAAGAGCAAGGCAGAGTGAGGCTGGTGCCTGGTGCCCAGAGGATCGTGGTTAAGCCAGCCAGCTGCCCCCAGGACACTCAGGTCCCGCTCCACCATTAGCTTTCCCTCCATTCCCTAGCCAAGCCGTGCCCCCTCTTGGGGCCTGTGGTGAGAACGACCTCCCCACCTCTTGCTCTGATGACTAACCTTGTGTCCTGAGACCTTCAAGGCAGCTAGCATCCTCCTCCTAGTTGCTGAGCTGCACCCCTGTGAGAGGTGATAGAGGCTGCTGTGTCCCCCCGTGCTGCTCCCTGGGGTCATGTTGGACTGGGCTTGCTCCTTGGTCCCCTCAGAGCCTGGGCCTTCAGCTGCTTTGTGGCCCCAGGCAGTGCTCTCTGGGCTGCCCCATCACCCCCGCACTGCCTCCTCTCCCCAGGACGCATCCTGTCTTCTCATCTTCCTGCCACTTCCATGCTATCAGCCTCTGCAGGGTGGCTGCAGCCATTTCCTCATCTGGCTAAGTGATGGGCTGGGACGTGATTTGTCCACTCCAGATGCCTACCCAGTCCCAGTGACAGACTGCCTGAAGGGGCCATCTCTGGGGGGTGTGGCATCCATGCCAGCAGTTTGGGGAAGGGAGTGGCCATGGGGAGAGGGACAAACCAGGGCTGACCTGCCACAAGTGACCAAGTCCTGGGAGGGGAAAGCACACCTGATGGGCAGGCAGATGGGGGCCTCAGGGAGTGGCTGTGACCAGGGCCCCGACACGGGCTTTAGGCTGCCTGTGTGCTGTGCACCAACATAAGGCCTCCGATCACCCGGGGCCACCAGCCTGGTGTCACTCCCCCTGAGGCCTCTGCCCTCTGTTCAGCCTCTGGTGCCTTTCCAGGGTCCAGCAGCAGCAAGGCCATGTGCCGGCGGAGCTCCAGCCCTGAGCCCGCCTCGGCGGCCCTGCTGCTGGGCGCCAGACCAGGCTCCACACCCCTGCGGCCAGGTCCCTACTCCCGCACCAAGACACGCAAGCCCAACTTCAGCCCCCAGGAGACAGAGGTGCTGGTGCAGAGGGTGACACGCCACTATTCCCTGCTGTTCGGAGCACTCCGGGGCACACCTGCCCGGAAGCACCGTGTGTGGAGCCGCATCCTGCAGGCAGTGAACACTCTGGGCTACTGCCGCCGTGACCTGGGTGACTTGAAGCACAAGTGGCGGGACCTGCGCGGTGCTGTGCGCAAGAAGCTGGCGGAGGGCAGCCCAGCCCCTGGCCTCATCCTCACACCTGTGGAGCGCATGGTGGCAGAGACCTTCTCCACCCAGGCTCCCCAAGGCGAGGGCCAGACCCCGGACCCCCTGCCAAGTAAGTGGGCCCTCCCCATAGCCCACCCTCCAGGCCCACTTGCCCCGGCCAGCAGGCACCCAGTCTCCCCAGCTGCTGCCTTCTGGGCACGGCCCCTGAGCTGGAGACCCTGTAAGGGAGACCCAGAGACCCAAGGAGGTAGCCCATCTGGCCCCTCTCTGCTTTCTGATGGGGAAACCAAGGCTCAGGACTAGGGAGAGCCCACGTGTTTTAGGAGTAGGAGAGCTGGGGGTCAAAGCCAGCTTCATTTTAGCCCCAAGTTCAGGGTCTATCTGGAATTGCCAAGTGTGCAGCTGAAGGGTTTCATTGTAGGGACCACTTTGAACCACACAGGATTCTGGGATGCCTCTGTCCCCACTCAGCTATCTAAATGAGATGCAAGAACCTGTTTCCACATCACTGTAGGGAGATGAGGGCCATGATGGCGAGGGAGTAATAAGGTGGTGTCCGCTGGGACCCAGGCAGGTGCAGCTACCCTCTCCCTTCCTGCTGGAGGTCTTAGGGTGTAGCGGCCACAAGAAAACAAGGACACCCAACAGGGAGGAGGAGCATGGCCCCTAGGGAGCATGAGGTGACCTGTGGAGTCATCAATTGCTTATAGAATTTGGGCAGAGCCAGGGAGGAAGCCAGGCCCCAGCTCAAGTCTTCCCTGCCCCATGCTACGCCACCCTCTTAGGTGTGGAGGTGACCCCACCCTCCTTCTGCAGGCCCTTCTCCCTGGGCTCACACTTCAGCCCCATACCCAGTGCTATTTGGCTCTCAGCCTCCCATTAGCCACTGTCCCATCTGAGCCCATGGGCTCACTCCAGGGGCCCCTGGAAGCTGGAAGTTTCTGTGCCTGGCTGGCCTCTTCTGCAGCCCAAAGCCACCTCGGGCTCCAAAGGTGATGCTGGCTTGGACTCCTGCCACCGCCTCTAGTGCCTCCTCCTCCTGCTGCCTCTCTTCTCCTCAAGACGCCCATCATCAGGAGCTCCTTTGCTGGCCTCTGTGCGTGGTGGGCCCAGCCCTTCCGGAAGCCAAGCCACTCTGGACTTTTCCCTTTCTGGGAGATGCTAGAAGGATTTTGGGGATGAAGCCCCAGGAGCAGGACCACTCCCTCCCAAGGGCCACAGAGTGGACAGCAGGACTCAGCCTCACAGGGACAAGCAGGAGTCAGCTTCAGATGCCTCAACAGGCGCCACCATAGGACTCCGAGCTCCATGGCATCCTTAATTGCTTCTGTTCTGCAGTAATGCCTGCGACTGGGACATGTGGGCAGAGCAAGCTTTGACTGGCTGGGAAATTTCTGTACACCCAGGACACCACTGAGCCTGTGGGCCCTCGTGTGGTTGCTGGACCTGGGTATTGGACCTTAGACCATGAGGTCTGGGAGGTGGCCCTCAGGTGATGGGCCTGGGCACTGGGCCTTAGACCATGGGGTCTGGGAGGTGGCCCTTGGGTGATGGGCCTAGGTATTGGACCTTAGGCCATGGGGTCTGGGAGGTGGCCCTTGGGTGATGGGCCCAGGCATTGGGCCTTAGGCCGTGAGGTCTGGGAGGTGGTCCTCGGGTGATGGACCTGGGTATTGGGCCTTAGGCCATGGGGTCTGGGAGGTGGCCCTTAGTTGATGGGCCTAGGTATTGGACCTTAGGCCATGGGGTCTGGGAGGCGGTCCTGGGCGATGGATCTGGGCACTGGGCCTTAGACCATGGGGTCTGGGAGGTGGCCCTTGGGTGATGGGCCTAGGTATTGGGCCTTAGGCCATGGGGTCTGGGAGGTGGTCCTCAGATGATGGGCCTGGGCATTGGGCCTTAGGTCCTGGGGTCTGGGAGGTGGCCCTCGGGTGATGGGCCTGGGCACTGGACTTTAGATCATGGGGTCTGGGAGGTGGCCTTTGGGTGATGGGCCCAGGCATTGGGCCTTAGGCCATGAGGTCTGGGAGGTAACCCTCGGGTGATGTGACCCATCAGGGCTGTGGGCCTCTTGATGGGGTAGGGCTGGAGGAGGACCTGTGGGTCCTGCCTGTCAGGCCTGAGAGGTCTGTGGTGGCTGCATCCATGCCCCAGGGAGGCCACACGCTTTCTCCTCCACGGGAGGGTCCTACAGCCTGAGGTTTCCTAGTTTTGGGGGTGCTACAGCCTGAGGTTTCCTAGTTTTGGGGGTGCTTCAGGGAAGACAAGCTGTGTGGGGATGAGAAGAGGCTGGCAGCAGGTGGCATCGGTGTGGCCTGGGTGCTTAGTCTCTTCCTACAAGTCCCCTATCCTAGAGGGGCAGTAGGAACTCAGATATACTCACCCCTGTGGTTCTCTGCCCTGGGATGAGGCACAGTCCTGACTTTTCTGATCCTTTGGTAGATCAGCCCCTCCTCCTGGGTCCCATAGCCTTGGGCTCACCTCCACTAGGAGAGTCCAAATGACTGGCCCCTTGGTGCTGTGAGCTCCTCATGGAAGTGGCAATGCCCACTGCTGACAGCAACTGAAGTTCATTGAATGAGCGAGTGCTTGGGAGGGGAACAGAGTTTCCCCCCGTGGAGCCTAAGGTGAGGAGCAGGGAAGTGGCTGCAAGCCTGAGGATGGGGTGGGGAGCATCATTGCAGGAGACCCAGCTATCCTGGGTCAGCACCAGCTTGGGGCTTGAAGGGGGCTGGGGACAGTGATTTAACCGAGGACACAGGGGTCTCCCACATTTCTGTGCCCCGAGGCCATTGGAAAGCACACTCTCTTGAAGTGTGTCTCAGCTTTCTGTATCAGGGTGGTTCTCTTGGAGGCCTGGCCCCACGCTTGGGTGTCCCATGGACTCCAGGAGCCAGAGGCCCTGCACAGGGCTCCCACCGAGCCCCCCCTGTGTCGGGAGGGCCAGGTGTCCCAGGGCCCTGTGGCTCTGTAAGGCTGATCCCACAGACATGGTCTCCAAAACCAGGCGAAACCACTTGACCCAGAACTGATGAGTTGTTGACGTGCCCCCACACATCCCCTAGGGGTCGCCCTCTCCTGTTGCCCGTCCTTGAGCACCACCGTTCGGCAGAAGACTGAATGCCCGCCTGGCTGTCCCCAATGAGCAGGAGGTTGCTGGCTGTACGACCAGGTGTCTGGTTGTATAATGTCTCAGGGTAGGACTGTGTCTGAATTTGGGGAGTGCTATGCCAGCTATGAGCATCCCTAGGACTGAAGTCCTGTGGTCTGTGTACGGGACCCCCAGAACACCAGGGACTTAGTCTCTGTTCTGAGGGTGGGCCCAGGTAGTGTGCTACCGTTAGAGTTGGGGTTCACAGTGTCTCCAGGGTCAGGAAGCAGTGTGGAGCAGGATTGAGCTTCATCTAAGTCCAAGGGCAGAGTCCAGGACTCAGCCTAGGACATGGGGCAGGGAATGGACCCAGGTAGGGAGCACGACCTCTTCAGTGCCTCTTGTGTCAGCCCTTCCTGTGCATGGTGGCAAATGTCTCCTGTCTCCCCTCCCCGCATCTGCATCCACGTCTCAGTGGCAAGAGTGCAGCCAAGCTGCTGCCTCTGGGGTCAGAGGTACAGGGTAGCTTATTTGTATGTGAGCAGGGGTGGTACTGCAGCCCAGGTGGTCACCTCCTCCCTAGCAGGACTGGTCCTGCCTGGGTGGCAGTTGTGGAGGGATACATCACATCTCTGCCCCTATGCTTTCTTCCCTGGGAGTGACACTCAGTGTGACAGGACACAGAGAGCTATGTTCTGTGGGGGACTGGCTGTAGCCCACAGCACATGCAAGAGAAGAAGGGGTGTTTTGAGTCCAAGAGGGGCCAGGCCATCACTCACACCAGGGTCAGCCCTGACTTCTGTGATCTCCTAGTAGATCAGCACCCCAGAGCCCCATGGGGGAGGCCCAATGACAGGTTCACCCTAGGGCCCTGGGCTGGGGACCAGGGTAGGGTGAAGTCTATGACCACAGGCTGAAGGGTCCCTGTGAGGCCTACATGGGGGACTTCTCAAAGGCGGACCCATGCCCTCCTCCTCCCAGGGGGCTCACTGAATGGGACTACATCTCCCTAATCAGAGCCAGGGATCCCACTGGGAGGATGGTGAATGCCCTTCTCCTTCTAAGGACCCAGCTCCTTCACAGCCAGTATTGCTGGGCTGGAGGTGACACTACCCAGCAGTAGTGCCTGTGGTTGTGATGGCTTCTCTGAACCAGGCCTCTAGTCCTCTGAGGCTCAGGTCAGCTCGGGGTCATGCCCAAGTACCAACTGCAGACGCACAATTTAAATTTAGGTATTTCTGCCTCTAAGTTCTTACCGAAAATGCCTGATTTGGAAGGCATACTTTCTGCCGGCCATCTCTCCTTCCTCAAAGAATGAGTGTCCTTGCACTTGCACTGTGTTTTCATCTGATTCCATCAGCCAGCAGGAGGAGCGGCTTTCTACTGAGACCGAGGCTGAACAACCAGGTGCCCACTGCATCGGGTGGCACATGTCCTTCCTTGGATGGGGTAGGACACCAGGGTGGAGAGGACACCGAGCATAGGGGATCTTTTAGGTCATGCCCCAGAATGCAGGGCCAGCTGTTGCTGTGGCTGAATGCTCTGGTCTTAAGTGCCTGATGCTACATGCCCCACCGTTGGCCCCGGGTTCTTAGTGGGTGAGGACAGGTTGGGTACGTATTTCACATAGTACTGCCTTTCTGCTGCTGGAGTAGTGGTATGGAATCTCCTGGGACAGCTCTCAGGTGCTCAGGACCTGTCCCTGTGTCTTGTCTGTTGGCTCATGTGGGCCCCATTGATGTGGCTTCTCCAGGCCACACTGACATACCCATGGAGCTCCACTTTGCCCAGATTCACAGGGACATCAGCCCTGCACTGTAATGTGAACTAGCTGGTCAGTTCCCAGGTGCCAAGGGCCAGTATATGCTGGTGCCCAGAGCCCTGTGTTCATAGAACTGATCTTAGTCAGTCCTTGCTGCAACTCTGCAGGATGTGCTAAGATGGGGTCTGTGCCCATCGTGGGGGGCCACAGCCAGAGAATGGAGGGGCTGCCCAAAGCAACTTCTTTCCTTTCCTGGGTGGGCTGGTCCCACCCTGCCCAATGTGGCTGCTGAGAAATCCCCTTTCCTCTGGATACCTTCAGACCTCTGTCCTAACCACTGTCCACACCAGGCAGATCCCTCAGGTGATGCCTGATGACCCAGGACCTGTCCTTGCAGCCTCTGCTCCTTCAAAGGCCCAGCTGCCTTCTTTGGGTCTCCCAGGAAGCCATGTGGGAGGGGCCTCAGTGACCCCAGAGGAGCAGATGTAAAGCTCATGTCATCTGCTCCCTAGCTTAACCCGGGGCTCAGACTTCCCTGGGGTCCACCTTTGGGGGTGTCCTCAGGCAAGGATGTCTGGGTCTCCACTCTGTAATTGCCTTCTGTTGTCTTGATTTGCAGATAGTATTGAAGCCAGCATTGAGGCTGCATCCTCGCATGCAGAGGCAGCCAGTGAGCTCCTGGCTGGAGCCAGCCGGCACCAAGTAAGTCAGTGTGAGGGCGAGAGCACCCGGCCGGCCCGTCCTCCATCCCTCCATCCGTCTGTCTGGGGTCTTAGGCCCTGCCTTGTGCTTGAAAGCAGCATGCCCACAGGGCCTCCTCTGAGCCAGGCTGCTGGCTCAAGCCCTAGAGGGTCGGGAGGGGAGGGAATGGGGCTGCTGTGGTGGTCTGTGTGGTACCCACAGTGGTTGGCACCATCCCCTCAATTGTCTGGACCCTTCTCACTTAGGTACCTCAGCCACCAGGCCTGCAAGGACAGTGACCAGGGCCTCTCCCCAACTGGCCCAGCAGAGGCTGGAGGACTGGGAGTGGGTGTGGAGCATGAGCAGGCTCGGCCTTGGCCTTGGTGGTCTCACTGCGGGTGGGGCCCTGGGAGGTTGCAGCACACTGTGGCCACGCTGGCCAAGGAGCCCCTGAGGGAAGCTCTGGCTCCCCCTCTTCCTCAGGAGAGCCAGCTGGGTCTGCCAGTCTCTGCCACCTTCCTTGAGGGCACAGTCGTGGAGAGGGCTCATGAGGCCCTCCTGCTGCACCTGCCGTGCCTGGGTGCTGGTGTGCGGATTGGCATCCGTCCCTGGGCTGGGGCCTGCGTAGAGGACTCTGCTTGGGACAAGTTGATGGCAAAGAGGGAGTGAGAACCAACATCACCAGGACTTTACTTACTTGAAATGGGACTTAGAGCTACCTTGAGAACCAACCGTTAGGCCTTCTTGCTGACCCGTGGCCATCATGAGACAACCTGATGGGGCCTTGGCTGGCTGGGGAACATAGTCCAGCTTGGGGTAAGGGTCTGGCTGCCACCTTTCCCTGCCGTCACCATCTCAATTCCTCATTGCGGCCCTGTGCTCTGTCCCAGCCCTAATGTGCAGAGATGACTGAGCAGAGCCTATCCTTTGTGGAGCCTGTAACCTGGGGGCCAAACAGGATAGAGTGTAGTCTAACAAGGGGAAGGTGATGGTAGCTACTGTGGGAGCTCAGAAGGGGCCCTGGGGCTGGGGCCAAGAGGGCTTTCTGGGAAAGCACATACTCTCAGGGGCCAAGCAGAAGCTGTCCTGGGAGGAAACAGTGCAGCGTGTGCCGGGGCCGGAGGAGGGGCAAACCAGGTGCACTTGGAGCACTGCAGGTAGACTGTGATGAGGGAGTGGGCAACCAGAGTACCCTCACCCTGGGGGCCTTGGGGATCTAAGTTCTGCTTAGAGAGGGTTCTCAGTTGTTTCCGAGGGGTGAGGGAGAAAGGGGACTGCGGTCTGAACCTCACAGGGTCCTGGGAAGGTAGACATGAAGTGGAGAAGAACAGTGCCTGCCAGGGCTGCTTCATGCTCCCTTCCCATGGGGCACAGGCCAGGGCAGCCCCCATGCTGGGGTGGGCAGCTGCAGGCCAGTCTCATGCTTGGTGAGCTTGCCTAGTAAAGGGGATGGGGCATGAGAATAGGGGCTGGGCCACTGCTCTGGCCTCTCTTTTTCTCTGTCAGTGACCATCAGATTCACAAAGTCAGCATGACCAAGGATTGACCTCCTGACAGCTGGTGAAGGCCAGCCCAGGACAGACTGTGCTAAGGTCGTCTGCAGGATGGGACAGAGGCAGGACTGGAACTGGGTCTCCTGACACCAGCTCAGGACCCGTGTGCTCCAGCCCACAGCCTGCTACCTCGTAGGGGCCTCCCAGGAGCAGAAGGTGGAGGCTGCAGCTAACAAGAGAAGCCAACTCATTGGAAGTTCAGGGCCATGCCACACAGAGTGCCTTGCCCCAAGAGGAAAGCAGCAAGCTGGCAAGATGACCCTCCCCCGAGCACCCAGGACTACCAGGTCAGAAGGAACCACAGATGCCCAGGACAGCAGGAGGAAGATGGGCCGGTGAGGAGGAGGAAAAGAAGGTGGAAATGAAGGCGGTGGCAACTGGGCCAGCCACCTGTGCCGTGGATGCTCCCTGCCATGTTCCCAGTGAGCGTGTGGGCCGGGCTCTCTGGGATGACATTGTCATCACTCCATTTCTGTTGCAAAGCAGGAACTGCCCTGTGCTGTAGGTGACCCAGACATGGGAGGTGGCCCATCTGAAGTCCCTTTCACATAAAATGTACTCCTGCTCCCTCCCACAATAGATCTTCCACACAGCATGTCAGGAAGGGACACTTGCTGATCTGTCTTCTACACTCAGAGAACTGGAAGAGTCAGCAGTCCCAAACTTAGGGATCCTAAAGCTGGGCTTTTCATTTACAGACCAAGAATTTGAGGCCCATAGAAGACAAGGATTTTTCCAGGGTCACATAGCTGGCAAGATCAGGCAGCTGGTTTTGGAGCCTAAGGCTGCAGAATTTCAGGTCCAGAGCATTTCCTGTTGGCTTAGAGAAGTCCGACCCTTGTCTTCCTGGGGACATCCACCTGGGTGTGTGGGTGGATGTACAGGTGGACAGATGAGTGCCTGAATGGACAGATGGAAGCTTGGAAGGATGGATGCATGCATGAATGGATGGAAGGAAGGACAGAGGTGCACAGGCTGGTGGGTGGGTGGAAGGATTGACAGGCATGGATAAATAGATGGCTGAGTGAATAGCGGGTGGGTGGTCAGAGGGATAGATGAATAGAAGGAAGGAAGGAGGCTGGAAGGAAGGGGGTGGCTGGATGGTTGGTGAACAAACGGACGGACAGATAGATGAGTGGACAAGTGGGTGGATGTATATATGGAGGAATAGACAGATGGACAGGCGGGATGGCAGATCATGGGCAGCTGAGAGGGTAGATGGAGGCACAGGTGAGTCATTGGGTAGGTGGATAGAAGGTGGTGCCCTGCTGGCTCGGCACCCAGGCTTGCACTTGGATGGGTAGTGGTTTCAGCCCCAGCACTACTAAAGCAAATGCACTCACCTCCCTGAGTCTTGGTTTCCTCATTTCTCTCGTGGGGGCCGCTTCCACTGCAGAGGGGCTGTTGTGAAACCACAGCGGCTCCCAGTGCAGAGGCCTCTGCAGGCCACACTCCCCACTCCTCCCTGCTCCCTCCCAGGCTTGCTGCCTCCTGGTCTGCAAAGGCTGACATTTCCCTATTTCCCTCTGTTAGCCGACGAGGAGGACGAGGCCCCCAGCGGCCTGTGGCTGCCCCTGCGGACCCTGGATGGGCCCAGCCCACCTGAACCAGACCCCCTGGAGTTCCGAGGAGTCTTCCATGCACCCACCTCCTCACCCTCCCCACCTGCTTCCCCAGCCTCAGCCCCACCTGCGACGGCGTTTGTGGGGGCCTTCCGGCCTTCCCCACCCTCCTCTATGCCAGCATCCGCACCTCC